TCTACGTTATCACAAGTGGCCAGATTTCCTTCCTTTTTACAGCTGAGTAATATCTTATTGTAATTGTCTTTATTCATCCTTTGATGGGCATGTAGGTTGTTTTCATATCTTGGACATTATGCACGATGCTGCCATGAATGTAGGGGTACAGATATCTCTTTGGGATATGTGTACTTATTTCATGTCCTTTGGATAAATACTCAGAAGTGGAGTTGCTGGATCATATGATAGTTATGCTTTATTTTTCTGAGGAAACTCCATGTTGTTTTCCATAGTAGCCATACCAGCTTACAGTTCCACCAACCATGCACAAGGGTTCTCTTTTATCCAACTGACTTTTTTTCTAACTTAACCTCATCCTAAACAGCAGTAGCTGTAAAATCACAATGTGATATGCTAGTTCTGTAACTTTTTAATGCATGCTAAAAATTCTCTTTAAAAAATGTGTAACTATTAAGACCTGGCCAGATGGCTCAGTTGGTTGAAGCATCTTGTACACCAAAAGGTTGTGGGTTCAATATCCAGTTAGGTCACATACCTAGGTTACTGGTTTGATCCCCCATTGGAGTGAGTATGGGAGGCAAATGATCGATGTTTCTCTGTCTCTCTCTCCCCTTTCCTCTCTCTCTAAAATCAATAAAATATCCTCAGGTGAGGTTTTTAAAAAATGCTTATAAGAATGTGTAAGTGTTAAAATTAAAAGTGTTCTACCATGTACCTGCTAAAAGTGCATACCACCTGGGATGTGCTTCTTGCACCCTGGGCACCCTGGGTCTGTTCCAATGCCTTCTATGACCAGACAGTAAACCTGAGGCTTGGGTAGAGTGTGGCATTGTCACATACTCAGGACACGAACAATGTGTGTGGAGTTAGGATCCAGGTCTGCTGCCACCAAGGGTCAGCTTAGCAGGTGGGGCCTCAGCTCCACCATTGTAAGTCTGTCAGCCCACACATGTCATTTCACTTTCTGGAGCCTGGGTTTCCTCATCTCTGCTGTGGGGCAGTGACACTGCTGACCCCTATGGGCTCCACAAGGTCTGATGCTTGTCCAGACCAGGCCTAACCAGCCCCTTCTCCAACCTTTTCTCTCTACATGCCTGATATCAAGAGGCAGTGACCCAGCTGGCAGGGGAACCCCACAGGGGAGCCTGCTCCCCTTTCTTCTTCTATCTCACCACCAGCCATTTCCACCCTGCCTTTTGCCAGTACCAGGCCAGTGTCGCTGTGGGACCAGCCTGACGTGACCCAGGTCAGGTAGCCTGCCAGATACCCTGGCACCTTCCCCATCTGTCTGGCCAGCCAGACATGAGTTGTCTGACCTCATGGACTGCAGCCATGAGCCAGTGTCCTGAGTGACCTGGTCAGCTCAGCCCTGAATCCATTTCTTCCAAAGTGAGAAAAGAGGTTCCTGCATATTTTTTTACAATCAGGAGGGGCCCCCAATACTTCCAATACAAGAGATGTGGCTGAGTTGGCAGGGAAGCTGTGTTCTGAACCAGGCACCTGCCACCACACAGACATCTCTGAAGAAAGGGAGCAGATGAGGGGCCAGCTTCATCCTCCAGGCTTCAGATGCTGGAATAGTTCTGAGTGGAGAAATACAGTGGGTCATCTGGAAAGGGGCCTCCCAGGACTATGTCATCGTCTCAAGGGCATCTGGGGAGGCCGCAGTCACCCAAGGGCCTGTGAGCTCCAGGACACCCAGCTCAGGCCTGGTGAGCAGTGTCCAGAGCTGGAATATGGACAACCAGTAATCCGAACAGTGGTGGAGTTCTGGGGCAGTTCAAGATAGGGAGAAGCTCGAGCTCCTCCTCATTCAGGGCTCACTGGGAGAGTTGGGTGAAGGTTCAGGAATATTCAAGGGGCTTCTCATCTCCCACATTCCTCAAAGGACACAGACACATGGTTCTTTTGTTCCACTGACGCTTTGACAGCCCTTTGGGAGCCACATCCAAACCTTGCCCTCTGTGTTCATCGTCTCTCCTCTCCATTTCCCACCACTTCCCTTGCCAGGGCCACAGCCCATCCCGTCATCCCCAGGGCTGCCTTATCTCCAGAGCCCCAGGCGCTATATCCTGACCTTAGGCCTGGCTTCCTCCCATCCTCCCTCATTTCCTCCCTCCTTCTCCTCCCTCTCCGGGCTGGTCCTACAGCCAGGTCACACCTACCTTCACCTTCCCAACTCTCCAGCCCCCTCCCTGCATTCTCTGCAGCCCCATACGCTGTTTCCTCTCCACCTCCTGGCTTCTCCCCAGCATCCTCAGCCTGGTTTCGGGGTGGGGGGGGTGCCACCTAGAGACAGGACAAGTGGGCAAAACCTGTGAGGTGGCACCAAGCAGTGTGGTTACAGGGTCCCAGCCTCCACTTCTTGGCTTTGTGAGTCCAGGCACCCACTGGCTGCCCTGCTGTGGATTAAATGAGCTCCCATGTGTAAAGCACAGGGTGACCCCTGCTAGCACCCAACCAGAGGTAGCAGGCAGAGGACTGGAAGGCCAGGACCTTAACATGGAATTTAGAAGTCAAGTGTGGCTACCCTGTTTGCTGAGTGAGTATGCTATGCCCAGCCTGTGCAGGTGCAGGTTCCTGCCCTCATGGGCTCTCTGCCTGAGGTGGTGAGCCGTCTGCATCCTGAAACAGGTGGAGCTGCCCACCAGCAGTAGACCTCCCTGGGCCCAGGGAGGCTGCTTTTCTCACCATGTCAGATTTGCTCCTGGGAGCCAAGGGTGGATCTGAGCCCAGAAATAGGGTCCCACACTGTGGGGAGGAGAGAGGAGCAGCAGGGAGATTCTCAAAGCAAGGCCTGATGACCACAGACAGCAACATCTCTAGGGAGTTCTTACAAAACAGATTCCTGCAGGTCAGAATGACTGAATTAGAATCTCTTGGGGTGGGGTCTAGGGATCTGCACACTTAGCATGCTCCCAGGTGATCTCTGCGGCACATGGGAGGATCAGCCCCTCTGAAGTGCGACAGGTCACCAGGGAACTTCCCTGAGAGGGCACACAGCTGTCAGAAGGGTATTGATGCTTTGAGCTTGGTTGTAGTCACCGCTGAAAAGAGACTCTTACTCTTTACAAATTTGGGAATTTGCCCTGTGGGTAGAGACCACACCCATCTCCTACCCCTGGTGCTAAAAACTGCCCTGCAATCCAGAGGCCCCATCCTGGCCCAGCCTCCTGACACCAGGATGAACCAGGAAGGAGCCTGGGAGGACAGGTGTGTGGGAGCTGCCTTTCATCTGCACCCACTGGGTGGGGGTTGACCGCATCCTCCTGATGACTTCAGAAGGAAGGTATTTGTTTCCCCCAGAGGAGAAGAGGAACTGGGCTGGGGCAGCTGCCAGGTGATGAGGCAGGATTGCAACGCAGGTCTGTGGGACTTCAGAGACCAGGGTTTCTGAATGTCCTGGGCTCTGGGGTGGGGAGGTCTGTGTTCTGTTCCTCCAAACCAGATGAGGGGTGATTCTTCTCACCTCATAAGCATCACCTCAGCTCTATTTCCGGTCCCCTCTAAATCTTCTGCAGTGATGTTTCCTCAGGTGGCATGAGTCCTCTGAAACCTGTCACAAGGAGCAGTCTCCCTGAGTTTTTTCCCCTGGGGTCAACTTTGGGAGAATCAGTGGCTGGTTATGTTAAATGATAATTTTTTAAAGAGAGTATAATCATAACTTGCATTCATATATAAAGTGAATACCTACCAAACATTGTATTTAATTAATGAGAGAACCAGTAAGATGTTACCACTGGTTCATGGGAGAATTCAAAGTACCTGACACATAAGGCTGACTGGTAAAATGAATTTACAAATAAATGCAAAACTTCAGTTGAAAAAATTCATTTTCATGCCTATGGACAAAAATCATTTGCACTGCTATTTATCTACAACTTACAGAGTTGCATAGTAGCTCAAGGACAATACAAGTCCCCAAGACGATAAAAGTTCAGACACCCAGATAACCCAGAAGCCTGGCTTCGCAGTGCCTTGTTTTACATTGAAGACACCAGTGATTTTTTCGATTCATTTCAAAGCCCGTCAGTTACCAGAAGAGGGCGACACATGTGGCTCTGAGCTTTCTAGCAGCCAAGTCAAAGAGGGAACAGTCTCTAGATTCAGTGTCTATAAGGACAGATATGTGATACTTGTTCACCAAAAATTCAGATTCTCATTGCATGGAGACCAGGTTGTTCTTCCAGGATGAGTCTCGTGAAGGAAACCCAGTGAGCTGGAAATTAGTGTCCTCAATGATATTTCTACCAGAAATGTAGTGGCCATGCTGATGTAGCTGCTTCCAAAGGCCAAGACAGTGGCTCTCAGTAGTCCCAGACCTGTAGCATCAGCCTCATCTGGGAACCTGTTAGAAATGCAAATGTCCAGATTCCACGAAGACTCCTGGGGGTAGGACTCTATCTGTCTATCAGGAAGCCTTGTGGATGATTCTGATGCAAGCTGAAGTTTAAGAACCATGGGACAAGGATTCTCAACCTTGCAATCACTTTAAAATTACCTGGAAAGGTTTAACACAGCATCATGCCTGGGACCCACCAAAGACCAATTAAGTCAGGATCACTAGGTGTAGAGCCCAGTAATGTATGTGTTTAAAGCTCCCCATATGTTTCTACTGTGCAGCCAGGATGAGACCCACCATCACTGTCATTTAATGCAAGCTGAGGGCAAGAGATGTCTCTGTTCTGGAGAAATCCAGATATGCACTTGTAAGGCTTGTATGAGATAATGTGTCTTCCTCCCTCTCTCCCTCTTTTACTTCCTTTCTTCCTTCCTTCTGTCTTTCCTTCCTTCCTTCCTCCCTTCCTTCCTCAACATTGAGCACTTACTATGTAGATGGCAGAGTCCAAGGCCCTAAAGTTGAAAAGACACTCAAAAAGGCAGTACCTAATGGGAGCTCCTGGCAGGTGAGGGTGTTGGGAATGATGCCAGGACAGTGAGGGGTGGCCCTTGGTCCATGCTCCATCCCTGTCTGATGGTGTTGCTCTTCTTGGCAGGCTGCGAGGGGCTATGGGACAACATGAGCTGCTGGCCCTCCTCTGAGCTGGGACAGACTGTGGAAGTGGAGTGTCCTCGATTCTTCCAGATGCTCACCAGCAGAAGTGGTAACCATCTAACCCAAAGGGCCCAGCTGAGAGGCTATGGGGTAGCCTCTGAGTGGGGCCTCAGCATGAACCCATGAGGCCAAGAAATCTTCTCTGGGGTCAAGTAATGAATGGAGTGATGGGGGTGGGGTCCTTGTTAGGGATTGGAAATACAAAAATTGGAGAGGGGCCAGAGAGTCTGGTTTGAATCTCACTCACCCTTTCATTTACTGCTTTGGTAACGCTAGCAGCCAAAACAGACAAATCCACAAATCTCGAAGCCTATCTCCAGTGCTCCTCTGCCAAGAGTCCAAAACAGGTACTTCTGATGAGCAAGAAACTCTTTTCTCCATGGCAATTCTGGCATGTGGGCACCTTCCTGCTGTGGTGTTGGCACACAGCTTTCAGACTGGTGAAGGGAAAGGACCCAGAGGATCAGCAATGGGTGATTTGAAGGACCAGGCCTGGAAATGATGCCACTTCTGCCAGTGTCGCTTCTGCCAGAACTCAGTCATATGGCAACTCTTAGCTGCAAGGGATGTGGGGAAATAGGGTCCCGCTGGATGCCCATCTCTACCTCTGGGCCCAAGTTCTTCAAACTGTCTCTGGGCTTCAATTTTCTCACCTGTAAAATAGGACAATAAATAACGCCAATCCTGTGAGACTGGGCTTGGAAATAAATTTAAAATATTTTCCTTTGTCTCTTCTCTCCCTCTTATACCCCTTCTTGTTCTTTCCTTTAACCTTAAGTACCACCCACCCCCGCCCTCCACACACACATGCACACACACCAGCAAACTTATATACAGTCTTTATCTCCTGGCATGATTCTTCCATGTCTGTCCCTGGGGTCTATGGATCTTGGGATACAGGAGATTAATTCAGACACAATTGACCTTGAGTAACTTGCTGGTCAAGTGCAAGGCCAGGACCAGACCCTTGTCTCGGACTCCCCAGCCAGTGCTCCTCCCTGGCTGGCCAAGTTCTCCTGTAGGAAGAACTGGAAGCTCTCCTCTTTTCCAAGCACTCCCTTCACAGCCTTCTTCAGAGCCACTGTCTCTGTCTCCCCCACCACCATCCCCCTGCCCTTCTGTAAACAGGTCAGACAGAGCCCTGCTCATGGCCACATCCTTCCCCAAGCCCTTGCTTGTACCCCTGCCTGCCTCATTAACTGGAACTCAGCTGTCTCCTTCTTGAGGTGCCTCAATCCTTTAATTGCTCAAGACCTGCCAGGGGCCACCCAAGGGTGCAGCTCCAGGTCTGCATGCTTCAGGGAAGGAAGCTGGGGGTCCTATGCCAACCTCTGTGGCAGTTTCTTTTCACTACCACCTGGTGTCACTGTGGTGCTACAAGGCCCTCCTACAGGGCCCTCCTGCCTGGCCACAGTGAAGCTCTCTGCCTGCTGAATTCTAGGCACAGGCCCCCAGGGGGTGGGGGCAGGGGTCACCTCACATTGGGGAGACTAGTCTGCTCAAATCCAGCCCTAAATTTGAGGCACAGGCCAGTCTGGGAGCACAGGTCAGGACCAGTCGAGCCTCCCATCAAGACCTATCCTCCCACCACTACCTTCTTTCCCCATAGGTCCACCTGGGGTCTGGTTAGATCCCAGCCCCTCTGTGTCCTCTCAGGAGAGAAAGCCTCCCCACCTCAACCTAGGGAGGAGCACCTAGTGTTCTGGAGACTTCTTTTAGTAAGAAGAAACTAATAATAATTTAATTCTACCTCACGGGCCTTGATAGGATGGGTGTCCGTGTGACATGAGAAATTGCAGACTGGATTCCACCTCAGATATTTCTCTGTGTGTGCCAGAGTCTAGAAAGTTTCCTCTAAGATGTGTTATTTTGATTGCTAAAAGGACACTGGTCTTCCTGAGTTTCTTATTTAAAAAATCACACTTCTCAGGGAGGGTCAGGCCTTGGCCCTCTTTCTCTTCTCTCTCATGGGGGATCGGAACCTTAAAACAGTAGAAGTTTCTAACCTGATTAGGGTCCTGGAGCCTCTTGAGAATTAGATGAGAGCTTGGGACTGTACATATACATGTGCACAAACATACTGACTGTACTTTCAGAGATCCTTGAGCTATATATTGGCCTGAACCTGAGTAAGGATGTTTACCTATTACGTATTACATGCAGGGAAAGTGGGTGGGATTGAGGGGATTCCTGAGAGAGCCCAAATTTTGTCTCCTCTGCAGCTCTGCCCAGGGCCCCGGCCAGCAAAGTGCTCTGCCTTGTTAGCTGCTCTGGGCACCTGGCCTGGATCATATGTCTTGGGGATCCTGCTGGGTCGGTGTGGAGAGGGCCCCTAATAGGAAGCCCACCTGCTGTGGTCATGCATGTCTGACAACTGGTTCTGGGCTTCACAGAGTTTATATTCTTTAACTCATCTTCCCACCTAACTAGCCTAAATTTGACCACCATTTTTTCCTGTCTGACAACCTAGCTCCCTTAACCTAACTTCTACCCATTTCCTAAATTCCAACACTCCAAGCCCCACCACTCCTGGTCTATTTTTGAAAGACCCAAAGTAGGAGTGAATAACACTGTGTTGCCCATTCTGTGCGTGGCATCAGCCTGGGCAATTTCCATGTGCTATCATGTTTCCTGCTCAGTTCTGCAATGCAAGTGACCACCCATTTGGCATAGAAAAGTGATGCACCTAAGGTCACATGGCCACCAAGAGGCAATGCTGGGTTTCAAACTGTGATCTCTCTGGTGCTAAAATTTTACTCCATGCCTTGTGAGCCTTCATAGGCTGGGCAGACCTGGTGTCCAAAAGCCATGGTCTCCTGTTGCTAGAAGCTGCCTGTGGGTCCATAGTGAGAGAGCCAGGCAGGAAGGCAATGAAGTAATGGGACCTGTCTTAGCTGGGCACTGTTGTCCAATTCTGACCCTTGGTTTTCTCATCTGTAAAATAGGCCTATAGCACATCCCTCACTGGGGCCCTATGAAGATTAGATCAGAATCTGCATGTTAGCATAATGGCTGATTCTAGAAATGCCAGCCATATTTCTCCATCTCAGTGGAAACTTCTTGACCCTAAACCCTGTGATCCAATGACCCAGACCCTGGGCCTTGTCAAAAGGAGCAGGCCAGCCCAGCTTGTGTGGTCAAGAGGTCCCTGGAGAGGGTGCAGAGCAGAACAAAAGTAGTGGCAGGGCTGTGATCAGCTCCTTGCACCCCTGCAACACCAAAAGCAGCCAGACCCGAGACCAGAACTCAGCTCTGCTTGGCAGCCCAGAGTAGCAGATGCAACTGAATCAGTCATTCCCACAAGGAAAATGCTTCCTGGTGGCTCCCCAAGACTTCCTTCTTGGATGGCAGCTCCCCTTCCCCAGTCTTTGGGCTCCTGCTCTACAAGCTCCCTGTGAGCAAGCTCTCTCCTTTTCTCCATAGAGAGCTTAGAGCAGGCTCTTTATCCATTCATTGCTTCTCTAGAAATGTTTGGTGAGCAAGGCCTCTGGGCAGGCTGTGGGGGCTGTCAGAAGCTCATCTGCTGGGAAGTCAAGGAAGCCAATGCCATCCCTTGTGAGTGCACAGGATGCAGCCTGTGCTGGAGGTGTAGGGCACTGAGCTCAAAAAGGTGGCAGTGACATGTCAGCCTGAGGGGGTGGAGGGTGAGGAGGGAAAGTTTCTCCTTGAGTATTGAGGGACCTTGGAGCGGAGTTTAGGGCCTGTGAAGGGAAGGGCGTAGTGGGGAGGGGAGTGGGATTCCACAGGGGTCTAAGAGAGCCCTGGAGTGGGGCTGGGCCCTAGGAAGCAGCAAGGTACAGGGCACTGGAAGTTCTGCTGTGGCCTGGCCGTTGGGGGCCTGGGGTCTGGTTGGGACGATTGAGTGCTGTGCCATGAGTCAGTAAGCCTCTCTCATCTACGGAGCCCTGGTACCTGGCACAGTGGGATGGGGGTGTGGGTGAGGCAGTGAAAGGAAGACAAGTAGTGACTGGAGGCCACGAGGGAATGTTTGTTCAGGGACAGCTTTGTTTGTAAATTGAGGTGTAAGGATCAGCAGGTCTGTCTGTGTGTCTTTCTCTCTCTCACACACACACACATACATATCCCAGGTCTTTGCCCCTTCTAGGCCCATCTGCCTATTTGCTTTTCCTAGTACTTTTCCTGACTGACTGACTTACCTGTTCTTCAAGGATCAATTATTGGTCCAATTGGGAGCTGACTCTGTGGTTCAGAGAAAGGCAGCTTGGGACAAAGTGACAGAAGGAAGCTCTAGGCTGCTGCTGAGGCATTGCCGAGGGTACTCAGGAGACCCAGCCATCTGTCCATGGTCCCCGCTGCTCACACATAGCACACTTGGCACCCACAGGTTCCATGTTTCGAAACTGCACACAGGGTGGCTGGTCAGAAATCTTCCCCAGGCCTGACCTGGCATGTGGGGTCAATGTGAACGACTCGTCCAAGGAGACCAACCAGAAGCGGGTAAGCCTGATGACCTCCCTTCTTCCCCAGACGGGGCGGGGTGGGGGAGCTACAGGGTGAGAAGTGCCTGGCTGAGGCTAGAGTAAAGCCAGACCAGGGCCAAGGACAGGTGAGTTGGGGGCTACCCCTCCCACCCACTTTTCTTCCGCTCATCACCTGGGGTTCAGTGGGCCTGCTTCACTACCCTGGTCCATCAACCCGGAGATGGTGGTCATGAAGGCCACAGCACAGAGTGGACTGCCACATGCCACCACGAGACTGAGAATTATTTAGTCATGCAAACAAAAGAGAAGTGATGTGGTGGCTAAGTGCTCAGAGCCAGGCTGGTGGATCACAGGTCAACCCTGACCTGTGACCTTGATCGGGGTGGGAAGAACTTTACTTCTCTGTGCCTCAGTTTTTTCATCAGCGAAATGGGGTTAATAATAGTTCTGACCTCTCAGGCTTGCCAAGAAAACTAAATGAGTGAATCCATAGAAGTGTTGAGAATGGTGCCTGGCCATAGTCAGTTCTCAATCAATGTTTGCTCTCAAAGGAGAGAGCCCAGCCACAGGGCAGTCCTGGTTTGAGAGAGGACACTGTGACCCATGGGATGAACTTCTCCAGGTACCTCTGAAATGGCTACCAGTTTCAGAGAACCCTTCCCTCCTCTCTTTTCCTGACTGATGCATGTACATTCTTCAAAACTCCATTCCAGCCCATCAATTCCAGAAAGCTCTTTTGTCCTGTCCCCCTAGGAAGGGCTCCAGCTATTATCTCCCATGTTATATGAAATCATCAGCTTGTGCCATGTGCATCCATCTCTCTCACTAAAATATGAACTCCTCCGAGGCATCCATTCACTCAACAAACATTTACTGAGCATCTACTATGGGCAAGGCAGGGGTCTAAGCATGGAGATACAGCAGTGACAAGTCAAAAAAATAATATCCAGGCCCCCATTGCCCAGCACAATGCCTGGCACCTATAAGGTGCCCAACAAATGTTCATTGTTGGACTGAACATCTACAGTATCATGTGCCAGCTGCCTAATGCATAGTTACATTCAATCCTCAAAAGCATTCAGTGTAAGTCTATTACTTTCTTCATTTTGCAAATAAGGAAACTGAGGCTCAAAGGTGTTAGGAAAATGCTTAGTAAGTAATAGAGGCAAATGTGGAAGAGGTATCTGCTCCCCCATGTTCATTGCAGCATTGTTAGTAATATCCAAGATATGGAAACTACCTAAGTGTTCATCTATAGATGAATAAAGAAATTGTGGCACATATATACAGCAGAATGTCACTCAGCCACAAAAAGAAGAAAAACTTGCCCTGTGCAACAACATGGGTGGACCTTGAGGGCATTATGCTAAGTGAAGAATAAGACAGATAAAGACAAATATTGTGTGATCCAATGTATATGTAGAATTTAAAAAAAACCCTAAAATCAAACTCATACCAAATAGATAATATTAGTGGTTACCAGAGATGGGGATGGGGGAGGGAGAATTGGATGAAGGTGGTCAAAAGGTACAAAATTTCAGTTACAGGATAAATAAGTACCAGGGATATAATGGACAATGTGATGACAATAGTTAGCACTGCTATATGTTATGTATGAAAGTTGCTAAGAGTAAATCCTGAGGGTTCTCATCACAAGGAAAATCCTCATTTCTCTCTTTTTTGTACCTATGTAAAATAATGTAAGTTAACTAAACTTATTGTGGTATTATTTCACAATATATGTAAGTCAAGTCATTATGCTGTATACCTTAAACTCAGACAGTGATGTATGTCAATTTTATCTCAATAAAACTGGGAAAGAAAGTCAAGGGGGAAAAAGGAAAGTTGTGGAGGCAGAATTCAAAGCAAGTGTAACTCCAAAAAGAGCCAGTGCTCCCCCTCTAAATCCTGTCGATGTCTCATGAAAGTGTGTGCCCCCTGGGAGATGCACTCTCAGCTGTCCCATGAACTAAACTTGCCAATGGAATATGATGGACAAGCTTGCATCTTCTCTGGAGGGTGGGATGGGGTCATGCAGAAGCATGAAGTAGGGAGCAGCAGAATTAAAGAGAGAGAATGTGGCTGGGAGGCAGACCACACTCCTTTCTGAGTTTTTCTAAGACTCCTCTATAGCCAATCAGTCTTGCTCTATATGAAGGGGTTTGATTGAGGGATCGATATGGAGGATGGGGTTTCTTTCTTTCCAGGGCTTGCCATCCAGTTGGAGAAAACACATGAATGAGGTCTTCAGATCTGGCCTGAGTGGGTTAGTTTAATCCTGGGACTCAACAAGAATTGACCAGTGGGTACATATGATCTTGGAGGGATGGTGGGTAGGCTCTGACCATTGCTATCATTGACTCAAATGAAGACAGGGACCTATGGATGTCACATTTGTAAAATCTATAAAATTAAGACCAAACATTCTTATGATGGGTGGTAGGATCGAGGTTCAAAAGGATGTTTTGAGTTGCAATAACATAAATTTCCAACTGGCTTAATAAGCAAATTTGGCTTATTAAGCCAAAGGACCCGAGGGTGCAGAGAATAGTGTCAGGGCTCCTTCATGAGGCAACACTGCAAAACCGCCAAGGACCAGGTCCTTTCCACCTCTCCACCTGCTATCCTGGTGCTTCTTCCCAAGGCTGGCAGCTCTCCCACAATAAAATGACTGCCACTGCCGACTGCCACCGCAGATTCCCCCAGGCCTGCTTGTCTTGGAAGAGGGATAGTCTGATTTCCTACAGCTCCTTCCTAAGAGCAAAAAAGCTGTTTTACCCAACCCCTCAGCAAGCCTGTCCAAACACCTCATTGGCCCAAAGTGACTTGAATCTGCCCACCATTGACCATCCCTGGCAGAGGGGTGGGGTACCTGATTGGCTTATGCCAGCAGTTCTCTAAGTTTTTAGCTTTGGGACCTTTTTCCCCCCAACCAGATTTATTTTTATTGTCTTTTGATTTCAAGTTCTTAACCAAAAGAAAGGAATTTTTAAGTTTTATGGCTATAACCCTAATGGAATTTCCCCCCTACAAAGGGAAGAAGGATAAGGAAATATTAAATAAAAACTCATCATAAAATTTCCAGTGCATAACATTAAAGTTCATTGGTAATTAAGGATTTCTATGGTTAATCAGTGGTAAGAAAATTTACTTTCTGCGCAATACAGCTGGATTCAACTATATTCATGGATAGATTTAGTTTGAACTTGCTTCTTCCTCTCTGATTTTGATTTCCTCCATTTTATTTTATTTTATTTTTTAAAGATTTTAAAAATTGATATTCTATTACAGTTGTCCCAATTTTACCCCCTTTGCCCTCCTCCACCCATCCCACCCCACCCATTTTTACATTTTTAAGAATTATTGGGGACCCCAAAGAGATTTTGTTTTTGTGAGTGATATCTACTGAAACCACACATGAGAACTTTTGACTTGGAGTAATCAGCTGGGAAAGAATGAGCCCAGGGCCCTAACCCTGATATTCATGGCAAGGTTGAGACTGTGAAATCCCTGGGCAAGGAGCTGAAACTTAACTAAGATAAATACAAAATTTGAACTTACCTAAGAAAATTATTGTCCAAAAATAGTGGAGAAGAAACCTACCTTAGCTTCAGCTCACATAAAAAAATATTTAAAAGTCCCTAAAATTTGAAGAGTTTCAGACCATGTGATTCAAACTAGTCCAAATGCTGGTCTACAAATTGGCACAAACTTTGTCTTTTATTCTGAGATTTGAATCATTCTATTTATTATCGTTGAATTTTTTTTCTTTTAATCAAATGATGGTGAAAGTCTGAATTGTTGGTCTTTCTTCAGCTTCCTTACTTGGCATTCATGTCTCTATTATTGACAAATATCATTGACAAAGTGGACTCTGGCTGGCAGAAAGACCAGACAAAGCTGCAGCAGAGGTTGGCAAACTATAGCCCTTGGGCCAAATCTGGCCCACCACCTGCTTTTGCAAATAAAGTTTTATTGAAACATGGCCACTCCCACTTGCACTACAAGGGCAGAATTAAGTAGTTTAAAAAGAAATCTTATGGCATCCAAAGTCTAAAATATTTACTATCTTCCCCTTTATAGAAAAAGTCTGATGACCCCAATCTAGAGGTGGCCTTGTCAGGGTACAAAGCAGAGAGCTAGGTAATTTGACCCACCGCAGAGAGCAGTGAGGTTTGGGGACCCCGAGTCCACTGAGGGGTGGTGCACTGTTGTAATCGTCAAAGGCAGGGGCACTGAGGTTGCATCAGGCATCCTGGGAACAGGGCTCTTTCTGGGTCAGACCTTAAAGACACAGGGGAGGGCCAGGTCTGCATGGAAGCTGTCCCATGTGTCCTGGGAATCAGGTGTCAGACAATGACCCCAGCCGCAGGACAGCACAGAATACTCAGCCTAAACTCCATACTGTTACCTGTGCATCCTCACGCTGCCATAGGCTGGCCCAAACTGCTTCTGAACTGGTGTCCCGGGGAGTGAGGCCAGCACCCACAGTTATGGGGCTCATGTTGGTCCTCTGGTATTTTGACATTTCACTGCTCTTTGATGTCCCAAAGTCTAGGAACCATTAATCTAATGCAACCTACTGTCCTTTTGTCTTTCTGCCTTGTTTCCTATAAGATGGCTCCTGAGTCCTGGGATTGTAGTCACATCAGTGGGGAAGCTCAATGTCACAAGGCAGCCTGTCAAAGGTCACCTGTTGCTGTTGGAAAGTTTTTGGTCATTTTGAGTCAAATGATCTTTCTGGTAACTTCCTCCCACCGGAGCTCACACTAGGTCTTAACTCTACTTCTACATGTCAGTCGACCTAATACTTTTCTTCCCTAAGTTTTTTTTCCTCTGGGTGTGATGTACACAGTTTATTCTTATACTCTTAAGATGACATGATCAGCCTTCTCTGGAAATGCTCCAGTTTATTAATGTGCCTCTTAAAATAACATGCCCAGAACTGGACCAAATGCTCCAAATGTTCCAGTGTGGCCAGCTACCTCACAACATTTCACTATGTAACTGAGAGAAGGCTTAGTTTTTCTAGCAGGTACCTCATACCTCACATTTCACACCATAAGCTCACACAATTTCACACCATTGACTCATGTTGAAGGATGGATGATAGGGGTGGAGGGTGGAGGTGGGGAAAAATCACATGCACCATGTGTCCCCAAAGTGCCAGCCATTGTCTAGATACTCTCCCTGATACCTTACTTGTTCTTCCAAAAAACCTTCAAGGTAGATAGTATCCCAATTTTGCAAATGAGGAATCTGATGGTCAGAGAAATTAAATAATTTGCCCAAGGTCACACAGCTAGTGAGTAACAGTCACAGGCTTGGCTCTGACACCTGTATTCTTTTTGTGTAGTACACTTCCTTAACACCATGAAGCTTTGGCCATTATGACCTCAAGATCATTTTCATATGAAGAGCTATCAGCAAGTGTGGTTTCTCCCATATTATTCTTGTCTGTTTTGTTTTTAAATTAATTACCTTTTTCTCCTGGTTACAAAGTAGTACTTACCCACTGTAGAAAAATCAAAAGTGTAGAAAATACAAGTGATGCTATGGCTGGTGGCTCAGTGGGTTGAGTGCCACCTGTGAACCAACAGGTCGCTGGTTCAATTCCCAGTCAGGGCACATGCCTGGGTTGCAAGCCAGTCCTCAGTTAGGGGTTCATGAGAGGCAATCACACATTGATGTTTCTCTCCCTCTCTCCCTCCCTTACCCTTCTTTAAAAATAAATAAATAAAATCTCTTTTAAAGAAAGAAAATGCAAGTGAAAATAACAGCACTATCCACAAACTTATCATCCGAAGTTAACCAGTATTAACGTCTAACACATCTCTTTACAATCTTGTTCTTATGCATGTATGAGACTGAACTACATGAAATGGCCCCAATTTCATCATTTTTTAAAATGTTTGCTTTTTTTAAGATTTTGTTTATTTATTTTTAGAGAGGGAGTGGAGGGAGAAAGAGAGAGAGAGAAACATCAATGTGCGGTTGCTGGGGGTCATGGCCTGCAGCCCAGGCATGTACCCTGACTGGAAATCTAACCTGCGACACTTTGGTTCGCAGCCTGCGCTCAATCCACTGAGCTATGCCTGCCAAGGCAAGATATTCTTTCATCATTTTTGGTCCAAAAAAAAGCAATTGCATATAATTCAACCTAACACTTTTTTTTTACATGTACTACAGTGGGAATTTTAGTATACATGTAAAATTTGTATTCTGCCTTTTACTTAAAATTACATTCTTAGCATGTCCTGACATCCTTTCAAGTTTGAAAGGTAAACATTATTATAATGTGCCCTAATATGAAAATAATTTGGATTTAAAATAATTTAGTTAACTATTCTTCTGATGTTGAACATTTAAATGTTTTTCATCACAAATAGTTTTGTGATAACCATCTTTATATATAAAGATGCTTTTATATTTCTGATTAATTCCTAGAGATAGAAGGGGGGTCAAAAGGACTGCATATTTCAAAGGTTCGTAACTACCCTTACTTTCTGGAGAGATTGAACCAGTTTTCATCCCACTTTTCCCTCGCCAGCACAGAATATTATTACAGTAGTTTCAAATATCTGTTATCTTGGTTGGTTAAAAAATAGCATAGCATTATTGTTTAAATTTTTATTTCCTTGATTTTTTTGACTGTTGTACAATTTAGTTTTTGAACCTAAATGCAAGTCTTTACATTTCTCTCTATGTGTCAGATCATTGTATTCCATTGAAATCTTTTTGAATCAAAGATGAACCAAGAGTGTGAAGTGGCTGCTTGGCCGCATTTGTAGGAGTGTAGTTTGTAGATCAGGGGAGATGAGGGTCCCTCTCTACTTCTTCCTGGTTAGCAGATACATTTGGAGCTGTTCAGCTATCCAGTTCTGGGTGTTTTATTTAAGAAGGTCATTGACAATTGGAGCACATTAATTGAGCAAAATGTTGAAGGATTGTAGAAGGAGAGTAAAGACACAGGGGACATTTAATGCTGAAAGATAAGTGAGAGTCAGATTGGCAGAATAGCTATATTAAAAATGACAGGCCTCTCTGTAATATCTTCATAACTTTTCAGTAAGTCTAAAACTATTCCAAAATGAAATAGTTTATTTTATTTTATTTTTTAAAAGATTTTATTTATTTATTTTAGACAGAGAGGAAGGGAGGGAGAAAAAGAGGGAGAGAAACATCAATGTGTGGTTGCCTCTCATGCCCCCTTCTGGGGACCTGGCCTGCAACCCAGGCATGTGCCCTGACTGAAAACTGAATGGGCACCCCTTTGGTTCACAGGTCGGTACTCAATCCACTGAGCCACACCAGCCAGGGCGAAATAGTTTATTTTTAAAAAATAAAGACAAGCCTTAGTTACAAGACTAATTCAGTTTATTTTAAGTAGCTCCAGAAACAGAACAGACCAATAAATGCAATTTATAAGGTAATAGCTTTTAACATCACATGGGAAAAAATATCTAATATTCGTGCGGCCATATACTGAATAACTTCCTTCAAAGGCAATGAGCACCTCATTCCTGGGGGTATTCAAGCAAATACCAGGGTGACATATGAGGGACATAAATTTGACTTGGCATGAGATGATCCCCAAGATCTCCAAAGCCAAGATGTTACGAGTCTATGAATGGTGTCCTTGGAACATAAACAGCATAGCAGTCTGAGTTGAAGGGGTTCAGGCAGGCTGGAAAACAGATACACTTGAGGCAGAAAAGTGGAGAGTCAGCCAGGTGGGTAGGTAGGAATGACACATTCCTCTCTCTGCAGCACGAGTACCTGCTGAAGTTGAAGGTCATGTATACTGTGGGCTACAGCTCCTCCCTGGTGATGCTCCTGGTTGCTCTCAGCATCCTCTGTTCTTTCCGGTGAGAAACTGCTTCCAGCTTCCCAACTCCTCAGCCTTTCCTGGACAGACTTTGCATCTCTTTGAACTGATTACACCAAAGGAGGAAGGTCTGAGTGGGCCCCTCTGTCACCTTTGATCTAAAGCTTATCTGTGGCAGAAGTTCCTGTGACTGAACTTTCTGTGAAGTTCCTGTGACCTTGTTCATTCCTGTATTCACTCACATTTCCTGAGCATTACTAAGGACTTACTGCACCAGTTGCTTTACATGTTATTTCTAATTTTCTCACGATGCCATAAGATAGGTACCCATACTCCAGTCTTAAAGGTATAATAACCAGACTCTTGGTTGCAAGAAACAGAAATCCACTGTAAAACAGCTTAGGAAAAACAAAGATGACTTGACCCACGTAATTGACAAGTCCAGGGCATCTGGCTTTAGGCATGTCTGAATCTGGATGCTCATAGGTATCAGCAGAACTAGGTTTGTGTCCCTCCATTTTTCTGTTTACATTGGCCTCATCCTCAGATAGGCTTTCTGCAGGGGAGTCAGAGATGGCCACCAGCGACTGCACGGGTACATTCTAACAGTTTACAACACCAGGGCAAAGAAGGCTTCTTTTCCATCAGTTGCCAAGAAAGTCCTGGGGGAATTCTCATAGGCTTAGCTTAAGTCACATGCCCCACCCTGAGCCAATCACTGTGGCCAGGGTTGGAGAGCTCAGGTTGTCCTGAGGGTGGGAAGGTGGGAGTTAAACCCACCCAGAATTGGAATGGGTTTTCCATAAGAAAGTCTGGTTCTGGTGCCTGAAGAACAGGAACAAGTTACAGGCTTCTGTCCCCTACAGCAAAGCAGGAAACTCAGGCTCTGGGGAGTGAAAAGTCTTGAGGTCACAGAACTCAGCAGGGGCAGAGACTGGGTCTGATTTCCCACTGAAGCCTTTGTTTTTTCTGGGCTGCTTGCCTCCTTCCATTTTGATTGCCTGCCTCTGGAATCCCCCACCCCTTCTAAACAATTCTGGGAGCTAGGGATGGCAGGTCAGGGAAGACCATAATGTCGCCCTATGACCCCAGGTTTTATTTTTTAAATTATAGGGTAAGACAGAGTAGACTGGGCACCTGGAGGCCTGGGTTCTCATGTAGGTTGTGCTAACAGATAAGAGAAATGTGTTGCCTGGAAATAGCCAATGTCCAGGGCCTGGGTTTCCCCTATGCATTGGGGGAAAGGGTGGGTTTGGCTGCTCTCTAGTTCTCCCAGCTCTGGCCCCTACAGCCCTGCTTTTTCTCCCTCCAGGAGGCTCCACTGCACCCGCAACTACATCCACATGCACCTGTTTGTGTCCTTTATCTTGCGTGCCCTGTCCATCTTCATCAAGGATGCTGTGCTCTTCTCAGACGATGGTGTCCACTGCGATACCCACATGGTAACAAGCCTCTGCCCCAGGGTATGGCTGGTCCTGTCTGCCTTCCCCAGCCTAATGTTGGAGAGGGTGGTAGCCCAGTGTCCTTCCCTAGAGTCCCTGCTAGGGCTGTGTTTAATGCCTAGGGTAAGGAGGTGCTGGGGCTGTGCCGGGAGGTTCAGGGAGAGTTCCATGTCCCCACATGCACCGTCTGGATCACATATGAGATCAGCGTTTTGGGGAGCCAGTCAGGGGCTGCCACTCAACTCCCAGTGTCCAGGAGTGGATTAGCCACTCTGACATTTAAATTTATAGCAAAGATCCTCTTTTCCTTACTCTAGCCAAGTCCTAGCTATAGACAGACGGCCAAGCCTAGAGAGGGATGGGTTGGTTGTACAGAGAAAAGGGTGAGTGTGTATCTGTATGCCTGCACACACAGGCCTGAAGTAAAACAATCATGTTTTGTTAAATCTAACCCTCTTTCTCATTCTGAATGCTCAGATGAGTTTTAATTTCTTGCAATACCACTGTGTGTCATTTGGGAATCCCTTTTGGTGCACATCACAGAAAACTGTACATCAGTGGCTTAAACAGATGGGGGTTGTTTTCTACAAAAGCAGTCTGTAGATGGGCAGTCCAGAGGGGGCACAGAGGTTCCATGATGCCATGAAGGACATAGTCCTTTTCCTTCTTTCTGCTCTGCCATTCTTGACCCCACACTTTATACCACATGTTTGCAATATGGCTCCTGTAGCCCCAGGCCCCACATCCACACTCCAGATGAGGAGTTAAGTTCATTTTTACTTTGATTTTTCATTTGGAAAAGAACACCTTCCCCAAGACCTTTACCTACCTCTTATGGGCTAGAACTGAGTCATGCAGCTATGCTTAACTGCAAAAGAACCTGTGAGACTGTTCTTTACCATTACAGTCTCTAAAGCAGAGGCAAGTGAGAGAGAAGGGGATTGGAAATTGAGATTGGTTCAGTCACCTGTCTGCCACTTTCCACCACTCACCTGTGTAATTCCTTATATAGCTGTCAAGGAGAGATCTCTAGCATGAAATAACTGTATCAGACTTCGGGTCAGGAGACTTAAATTCAGGCCCTACCCGATCACTGACCAGTGGTGGAAAATTCTAGCAGTGCCCAGCAGCGAACCTCCTTGAATTCTACTAACATCAGACCTTTGAATAACCATGGACCACACCTGGAATCAGAGTGTCTGGAAGGCCCTAGGGTGGGAACCACAGATAGCCAACAGGGCAGCAGTGGGGACTCCTCCTTTGTGGATGTGACCTTGTCGCAGCCCTCAGACCACCGTAGGAGCTGTTCTCTCCCCTGGGGACATTTACCGAGAGGAAAGGGGACCCTCATGGGGTGAGTATAGGAGCCATGCTGGCATAGAAGTCCCACCATCCCACAGACAGTTTCCTGGGATCCATGCAAATGACATGCTAGTTATAATAGTCATTGTATCCCCATCAGGTATTTAGAGGTCTCCAGTCCAGATGCAGTAAACCAGTTAAGAGCCATTTTTACTATAATATAATCAACGTTGCCTCCTAACATAGTTGGTATGTCCATTCTTCATCTGTTTCTAGAGAAACTGAACTTGGAAAGGATTTTAACCCTTTGCTCAGATACGCCTTTTCCTTTCTAATCCTGTTACCTCATCTGAAACATGAGGGAGTTGGGAGTTGAGCAATATCTGACACAATTTTACAGCTGGCAGCCAATTCCAGAATCTGAATGCAGTTTCTGCTTCTGCAATGCTATCTTGACTGAGCCTGCTGGACTCAGAGTTCACTCTCTGGAGAACTCTATGGGCCTAGTCTTCTGAAAGTGGAAGGCCTCATGGGATGGCCATGAACTCCAGAGACCCACTCTCTGGCTTGGCCCCTGACCCCTACCACACCTTGTCACTTTCTTTGAGGCTGGCCACCAGAGGGAAGTCCACAGTCACCCGTCCTTAGACTCACATGTCTCTCTTTGTCCAGGTGGGCTGTAAGCTGGTCATGGTCTTCTTCCAGTACTGCATCATGGCCAACTATGCCTGGCTGCTGGTGGAAGGCCTCTACCTTCACACACTGCTCGTCATCTCCTTCTTCTCAGAAAGGAAGTGCCTACAGAGATGTGTAGCCCTCGGATGGGGTATGTTTCTCCAGGGCTATACTGCTGAATGGTATGGAAAGGGCACTGAGTCAGAGGAATTTGGTTTCTAGTTCCAGCTCCACATTTAAAGTTAGTTAACTCCTATAATCTTAGATAAGCTACTTGCTGTTTAACCAAGGGGATTCAATTTATTTGTCTATCAAATGGGAAATCATAGCTAAAATTTAGCCCCAGTTTCTGACATCCAAAGCCTTTTACAATTTGATACCAATAAACATTTTTTGCCTCATCTTCCTTAGACATTCCATTTACATGTCATCATTTTTGCATCCTTTCTGTATCAGTTAGGGTGGTTTTGACTGCAGATATAAAATCTGGCTTATATAGGCCTTAAACATAAAATAAATTAATTGGCTCATATAACTAAAAAGCCCAGGGATCATTCACTTCAGGCTAGACTAAATCCAGCAGCTCAACAATGTATCTTTCTACTTTTCTACTTGCATTCTGCTAGTGCTCAGTGCTCCCACTGTAACTGCCAGCAGCTTCTGGGCCACTGGCTTCCTTGTTACATCTAATGAGAGAAAGAGGCTGTATCCTAGCAGTCCCAGCAAATATTTTACAGTTCCTTCTGATTGGACCAGCATAAGCTTCATACACATCCTCGAGCCAATCACAGAGGTCTGAGGGAACAGAATACACTGATTGACTTGAACTACTCAAACTACATGGATTCCAAAAGGAAATCAGGATTCAGTTTCTAGGAAGGAGAGGAAATGGTAGCAAGATAATCAACTGCAGCCCCCATTGTATCTTTTTCCTTCTTCCTTTCTGATCAATGAGAATAATAACAACTCCTGTTTCTTGAGCACTTACTATGTGCCAGACATTGTTCTTGTCACTTTACATGCATTATTTTGTCATCACAATATTCAGAGTCCTCTCAGAGAAACCATGCCTCAGAGATGTGACATCATAAGCTCAATTCACACTGTAGACAAAGGCAGACTCAGGATTTAAACCATGGCCTATTTTTAAAGCCCTTTAATGTCTATTCTGCCATTAACAAACATCCACCCATCCATTCACTCATCCTTCTATTCACCCATCTATCTGTCCATTTGTCCCTCCATTTATCAGTTGTCCATTTGATAAACATATGTAACTTAGCAACTGAGTTCTGGACAGAGAGCCAGGTTTCTAGGGATAACTCACGGGCTTACAAGGATAGTCATGTGTACCAGCTACTAACTTCAGTTTCTTTCTTCTTGATGCACTTAATTAAGAAGTGTCCCTTCCAGGAATGCCCTACTCTTCTTTACTGCTTGTCTAAATCCTACATGTAGGGGCCCTGGCTCCTCATCTGACCATCAGGGAAGTCACCTGAGCTGGTAGAGCTTGTTGAGTCTTGATTAGCAATGACCCTTGGCCAGCAGGAGGTGTAGGGCTCTGCAAATCTCTGAATACCCACATAGGCCAGTAGTCCCAGAGTGCCAGTGGACCCAGGACTTACCATATACACCTGACTCTGCCAAAAAAGCACCCAACTTGGAGCTCAACTCACTGAGCCTTCATTCCAATCTGCCAGTTTCACTGTATGGACATGGACAGTTTTATAATCTATAATATCAGGATCATAATTTATTCAACTTTCTTCAAGCACTTCTTTGTGCTCAGAAAGGCTATTTGGGATTACAGAAACAAAAACAAAACAAGTTCCATCATTTGAAGGGTTTGTCATCTAGCAAGAAGACAAAATTGTATTGTGATATCCCTCACAGGTTTCTAGGACATTTAAATGAGATAATGAGAGCCTGCCTTTCTTTCTCAAATATTTAGTGAGTATCTGCTATTTGCCAGGCTTTAGGGATACAACAGCACATAAAACAGAAGCGGTTGTTCCCTCTAGGCCTCTCTGCCTACACAGCACCAAGGGGACCATGAGAAGGCCAAGGGACATCTAAAGTTCTCCACCTTTCTCTTTTGCCTTTCTCTTGAAAAAGCAGTGGCCCATCCTCAATTTGTACTCAGATTGTTTCCACAGAGATAGGTTGTTTACCTATTGTGCTCAATGTAAAACTTTGCAAAAAAATTTTTTTGTGTAGTAAAGAAATCATTTTAGTCTCATCTAGTGAACATTTTCTGGGGTTTTCTATTTTTTTAATGTGAAATTATAAAATATTTATTTTCTATTTTATTGTATTTTTTTCCAACACCATTTATCCTCCTTATACTTCTTCCCACACTGTTGTCTATGTCCATGAGTCCTTTTTCCTTTTCACTTGGTCTCTTTACCCTCTAAACTCCCTCTGCCCACAGCTGTCAGCCAACTCTTTGTCTATGAGTCTGTCTCTGTTTTGCTTGTTAGTTCAGTTTGTTCATTAGATTCCACAAATGAATGAAATTATATGGTATTTGTCTTTCATTGCCTGGCTTATTTCACTCAGCATAATGTTTTCCAGTTCCATCCATGCTGTCACAAAGGGTAGGAGCTCCTTCTTTCCTTCTGCTGCATAGAATTCCATTGTGTAAATGTACCATAGTTTTTTGATCCATTCATTTACTGATGGGCACCTAGGTTGCTTCCAGCTCTTGGCTATTGTAAATTATGCTGCTATGAACATTGGGGTGCATAGGTTCTTTTGGATTGGTGCTTCAGGGTTCTTAGGATATAATTCTAGCAGTGGAATTGCTGGGTCAAAAGGCAGATCCATTTTTAGTTTTCTGAGAAAATTCCATACTGTTTTCCATAGTGGTTGTACCAGTCTGCAGTCCCACCAACAGTGCACTAGGGTCCCCTTTTCTCCACAACCTCTCCAACATTTGTTGTTTGTTACTTTGTTTATGATGGCCATTCTGACTGGTGTAAAGTGGTATCTCATTGTGGTTTTAATTTGCATCTCTCTGATAGCTAGTGATATTGAGCATGTTTTCATGTGTCTCTGGATCCTCTGTATGTCGTCCTTGGAGAAGTGGCTGTTCAAGTCCTTTGCCCATTTTTTAAATGGGTTGCTTGTCTTCTTAGAGTGGAGTCATGTAAGTTCTTTGTATATTTTGGATTAACCATGCTGTTTTGATTACTATGGCCTTATAGTACAGTTTGACATTAGGTAGTGTGATTCCTCCAACTTTGTTCTTCTTTCTCAGGATTGCTGTTGCTATGTGGGGCCTTTTGTGGTTCCATATATGAAGGTAAATTTTTGAAATATTTGTTCTAGTTCTGTGAAATATGTCATAAGGATCTTGATAGGAATTGCATTGAATCTATGGATTGCTTTGGGTAGCATGGACATTTTAATGATGTTAATTCTTCCTATCCATGAACACGGTGTGTGCTTTGACTTATTTGTACCTTCATCAGTTTCTTTCTTCAGCATCTTACAATTTTCTGAGTACATGTCTTTTACATCCTTGTTTAGATTTATTCTTAGGTATTTTATTCTTTTTGAAGCATTGTGAATGGGATTGTTTTCTTAATTTCTCTTTCTAGTAGTTCATTATTGGCATATAAAAATACAACTTATTTTGAATATCAGTTTTGTATCCTGCTACTTTACTGCATTTGTTTATCATTTCTAGTAGTTTCTTGGTGTAATCTTTAGTGTTTTCTATGTACAGTATCATGTTATATGCAAATAAAGATAGTTTTCATTCTTCCTTTCTAATTTGGATGCCTTTTATTTCTTCTTGTTTGACTGTCATGGCTAGGACTTCCAGTATTTCGCTGAATAAGAGAGGTGAAAGTGAACATCCCTGTCTTGTTTCCAATCTTAAGGGGGGATACTTGTAATTTTTGCCTATTGAGTATGATGCTGGCAGTGGGTTTGTCATATATGGTCTTTATTATTTTTAGGTATGTTCCCTCCATTCACACTTTTCTGAGAGTTTTTACCATAATTGAGTGATGGATTTTATCAAATTCTTTTTATGCATCATTGATATGATCATGTGGTTTTCATCTCTCATTTTGTTTATGTTGTATATCACATTTATTGATTTGTGAATGTTGTAGCAACCTTGCATTCCCAAAATAAATCCCACTTGATTGTGGTGTATGATCTTTTTGATATATTGCTGTATTCAGTTTGGTAATGTTTTGTTAAGGATTTTAACATTTGTGTTCATTAGGGATATTGGACTATAATTTTCTTTTTTTGTAGCATTTTTATCTGGTTTTGGAATTAGGATAATGTTGACCTCATAAAATGAGCTTGGGAGTTTTCCCTCCTCTTGAATTTTTTGAAATATTGGGTTGGCCTAAAAGTTTGTTTAGTTTTTCTGTGCAGTGCCACTATTAATGGTTAGTTGTCTTTAACTTCACTTGGAACAATTTTGTTAGATTGTATTGTGACAGCTGTCATACCAGCATGCATTTAAAAAACTTATCAAAATTGGTGAATTTTTGTGCAGCCATTTTAGCATTAAAGATGGAAGAAGATACACAATACTTTCAGTTTATTATGCTTTATTAGTTCAAGAAAGGTAAAAAGACAACTGAAATGCAAAAAAGAAAAAAGATTTGTACAGTATATGGAGAAGGTGCTGTGACTGATTAAACATGTCAAAAGTGGTTTGTGAAGTTTCACGGTACAATTGACACTTTGGCCAAATAATTCTTTGCTGTTGGTCTATCTTGTTCATTGGAAGATGCTTAGCAGCACTCCTGGCCTCTACCCACTAGCAGCTAAGAGTGGGAGATAGCTGACATACTGAAAATATCCAAATCAATAAAGTTATTGGTGAAAATGAAAAACGGGTCTTTTATTTTATGGAAAAAACTAAATGGACTTTTTGACCAACCCAATAATTTGAGAAGAGGTATAGTTTGTCTTAGAATGTTTGGTAAAATTCACCTATGAAGCCATCTGGTCCAAGGTTTTTGTTTGTTGGGTATTTTTTTAGTTACTGCTTTAATTTCACTGGGTGTTATCTGTCTATTCAGATTATCTGATTCTTCCTGATTTAGTTTTGGAAGATTCTATGTTTCTACAAATTTATACATTTCATCTATGTTGTCCAATTTGTTGACATATTGTTCA